TGTGTGTGTGTGTGTGTGTGTGTGTGTGTGTGTGTGTGTGTAACCCTGAGTTCCTACCTGTTCCCTGCTTATGGCTGGGTGGCCTGGGGCAGTAGTTGAGATGATGAACCTGTGTCTGGACATCTGCTCTCAGGGGAGGTGGTACCCTGGGTCAAGGATGCAGAGACACTTCTGCCTGCGTGGTTGATCTGTGTCCTGGAAGCCCTGGTGTGGAGCTGTGGGGCCGGTGGGAGCTGCGCTTGACCATTCCTCCCTGGCCAGGCCCCTGGCCGCCGTCGCAAGAACATGTCTGAGTTCCTGGGGGAGACCAGCATCCCGGGGCAGGAGCCCTCCAGGCCTTCCAGCTGTTCTCTGCCTCTTGGCAGCAGTGGGGGCACCAGCAGTGGGAGCAGCGAGAGCTGGAAGAACCGGGCAGCCAGTCGCTTCAGCGGTTTCTTCGGCTCCAGCCCCAGCACCAGTGCCTTTGGGCGGGTATGTGGCGCCACGGGGCTCAGGGCAGAGCAGCTAGCCGACCCTGACCCTGACCGTGGTCCTGGGTCTCCTTCCAGGAAGTGGACAAGATGGAACAGCTGGAGGGCAAGCTCCATGCCTACAGCCTCTTCGGGCTACCCCGGATGCCCAGGAGGCTGCGTTTTGACCATGACTCCTGGGAGGAGGATGAAGATGAGGATGAGGATGAAGATAACTCAAGCCTGAGGCTGGAGGACAGCTGGAGGGAGCTCATTGATGGGCATGAGGTGGGTGTAGCTGGGGAAAGTGGACTGCTTGGCTGTGTAGTGGTGGAGGAGGCCCACTATAGTGGAGTTATCTTGGGTATCTTGACAGTCGCAATCCAGATGATGGGATGCCTCGCCTTCCAGATCTCTGTGTTCCTGTCAAGAAAATGAGGACATTGCGTGCAGGGCTGCTCACCCTCGTGACTGTCCCCACACACCCTAGGCTACCAGCTAACCTGTCCCGCCCCTCCCTCTAGAAGCTGACCCGGCGCCAGTGCCACCAACAGGAAGCAGTGTGGGAACTCTTACACACAGAAGTCTCCTACATCCGCAAGCTGCGTGTGATCACCAACGTGAGTGTGAGACCCGGGTGCAGAGGCCAACTGAGTGTTCCCTCTGCTAAGCAGGGCGGTTACCTGACGGTAGTTGAAAGCAGGGAAATCAAAGGGCTCCAGGCTGCATCCTGGGTGTGGATTCCTGAGGTGTCCTGAGAATTCCTGAGGGGGGCCGGGGCCGGGCCGGGACATCAGGCTTGTAGGCCAGGTGAAGCTGACTTATCCTAGTGAGGCCAGAGTTGTTCAACGGCTGTTTCTGAACACCTCTGTCTGTCAAGTTACCAGGAACAGAGAGAGTGGATAGACAGACACTTAGGGGATTTAAACGGGAGGGCAAGCACCTGGAGGGAGGAGGAACCAGGGCAGAGGTGACCCAGAACCTTCCAACTTTGCTGAGAAACCATTCTCCCCAGCTCTCCTCCTGGTAGGAACCGCCAGGATGACCCCCAGTTGAACCATGCTTGGGTTGGCGCTTCTGGGTCTGGCCGTCCAAACACCCTCTTTCTCTCTGGCTGCTTCAGGGCCTTAGGGGGAAGGGGCAATTAAGAGTTTGGGTAGGGCCTCAGGGTTGGGAACCCCACCCCCACCCTTGCTGCAGCGTCCTCTCCCCCTACAGCTGTTCCTGTGCTGTCTTCTTAACCTGCAAGAGTCGGGGCTCCTGTGTGAGGTGCGGCCTGGCCTGGAGCGGCGTCGGGGGAGGGGCGGCGTCGGGGCGGGGTTAGCAGGGAGGAGTGGGTGGGACGGGGCGGAGCCGACCCGCGCCTGTGTTCGCCCAGGTGGAGGTTGAACGCTTGTTCAGCAACATCCCTGAGATTGTGCGGCTGCACCGCAGGCTGTGGGGCAGCGTGATGGTGCCGGTGCTGGAGAAGGCGCGGCGCACGCGGGCGCTGTTGCAGCCTGGGGACTTTCTCAAAGGCTTCAAGATGGTATGGGCAGGGACACTGAAAACCCCGCAGGGCTAGATCCTGTCTGCCCGTCCATTTCCTCTAGTTCCTACTAACCCTAATCCCAGGTTAACTCTGTGGTCAAGAAAGGAAGTAGTGCGTGTTGGTGACCTGGGTTTGAGTCCTTGCCACCTGACTATGGGTGGTATCTTTGAGACCTAGTTTCCTGACCTAGAAACCCCTCCGGGGTGGTGTGGGAAGCCCCTGGAGCCCCTGAAATCCTGAGGTAACAGGTGCTGTGGTTCTGCCCCGGACCAGTTCGGCTCGCTCTTCAAGCCATACATCCAATACTGTATGGAGGAGGAGGGCTGCATGGAATACATGCGTGGCCTACTGCGTGACAACGACCTGTTCCGCGCCTATGTCACGGTGAGGGTCTGGAGCTCTGGGTGCAGGACCTTGGGCACAGCTGGGTAGGCGGGGCCTGAGGGGGCGAGGTTAAGCCTGAGCTCCGCCCCCACTCTACAGTGGGCTGAGAAGCACCAGCAGTGTCAGAGGCTGAAACTGAGTGACATGCTGGCCAAGCCCCACCAGCGGCTCACCAAATATCCACTGCTGCTCAAGTCAGTGCTGAGGAAGACGGATGAGCCCCGTGCCAAGGAAGCGGTGATCACCATGGTAACTCGAATTGTGAGCATACGGCCGTCCTAGGCTGTCTCTCCCAGATCCTGGCCCTAAACTCCGTCGTCTGTCTGCAGATCAGCTCTGTGGAATGCTTCATCCACCACGTGAATGCATGCATGCGGCAGCGACAGGAGCGCCAGCGGCTGGCAGGGGTGGTGAGCCGGATTGATGCTTACGAGGTGGTGGAGGGCAGCAATGACGAGGTGGATAAGGTGAGCACCGAGTCTCTAGCTAGTAGCCCTCTGGAAGCACCCGATTGTCGGGGGGGAGGTGGTTGCTCTGCAGATCTCCTTTGGGGGCCTCTCAGATTTAACCCTGACCTCCCTGACATCTGCACTCCCCCCCACACCTAAAGCTCTTGAAGGAATTTTTACATCTGGACCTGACCGCACCCATGCCTGGCGCCTCCCCTGAAGCGATTCGGCAGCTGCTGCTGGAGGGGAGCTTGAGGATGAAGGAGGGAAGAGACAGCAAGGTGACCCTAGGAGCACCCACACCTGAGCCCTTTCCCACCCACTCTTGCTTTGTGGGTACCGTCCTTCCCAAGGCTCTCCCTTGGGCCTGAGTCGGTGGCTCACAGCTGCCTGGTTAATTATATGATAGCTGTCCTAGTCTGCCTCTGGTTGATGGGGTACAACACCATGGTCAGGAGCAGTTTGGGTAGGAAAACATTTCTTTGGCTTACACTTCCATGTCACAGGCCATCCTTGAGGGGAGTCAGGGCAGGAAGTGAAGCAGAGGTCATGCTGGAAGGATGGATGCCTTCTAGCTTGCTCAGTTTGCTTTCTTATACAGTCCAGGGCCACCTGCCCAGAGATGGCACTGCCTACGGTGGGCTGGGCTGGGCTGGGCTGGGCTGGGCCCGGCCCTCCCACACCCCTCCCACCATACCCCCTTCACACCCCTCCCACCATACCCC